ATGCCTTTATTCAAAGCGACATGTAGGCATTAGCATGAAGGGTCTCGCCCCCCCGGGATTTGAACCCAGTTCCTCCTGTGTGTAAGTCGGGTGACTTATCATTTCTACATGTTTACCAATGAAATACTATTAATCAGCCGGCATATTTAATACACAATGACATTCAGGACAATTTCTGGTTGAATTTGGGTGTGTAGACCTTTTGGAGCTACGTAGATTTTTAGTAAAAATCCTATGGAATCCTTTATAAGTTAGAATCTACAATTTTTTTTTGTTGAACGCAAAGCATTTCTTGCAAAATGTCGGGTGCCCTAACTGAGAGTAAGTATTTCTTACAAATACTGTGTTAGACATACTGTGGAAAAGCTGTTCTGTTGACCTTAAAACCAGATATAGATCAGTGGTGGAGGGAGCACTTTGAGGTTCTGCTCATCATACGTGACATATATTTCATCAGGGAAGCAGAGGTCAAGGAGTCATGGGGGCAGCTATCATTGCCACAAATGTCATTTGGGATAGTAAAACAACTACCCTTAAAACATTTGCCTCATTTCGTAAAGGTTCTAAGATTTGTAGATGTGTCAAAGTTGGCTTACTCTGAACTTTTTCAGTATCTCAATGAAGTGTCAGGCAAATTTCTTGAGATATTTCAGAGTGGGATGGAGAATTTTGTCTTTAACAAAACTGTCCAAAATCCGTTTTCCAACTGTTGGACATACGGCGTATTCTTCTTTGATGCACTCAATGAAAGACGGCATGAGGCTCATTTTCAAAAGAATTTAGTTCAGCTTGCCGCCTTTCACTCACTTTGTTGTTTACAGGATGTCATTAACGTTACTCAAAAAACAGCTCTGCATGTTGCCAAAGTGATTCCTGTCAAACACGAAGAAGGCGGCCTGCCTAAAACATGCAGAATTACAGTAATTCCCATCTCTCTGAGTGACTAACTGTGACTGGCGCTCTGGGCATTTCCTTCACCCCTGCCTTCTGTGCTGTGTGTTTTGGGGTTTTCTTCAAAGGATGCCACCGCAAAGCTGTTTGTGAAAGTTTTTCTGGCTCTTTTATAAATGGATTTAGGGATGTTATTGGCTTAGTCATACGCTTGCAGTTAACCAACATGTGTGAGCTATCATGTGAAAAATCAAAGAAATATTCCCTGGCATGCTAACAGTATTCACCACGTGCTTCATGTTTTCCTTTCACCTGGCTCTGCTTCTCTCTCTGCCTCTATCCAAAGGGTTGCACTAGTTCAGGTTATTACATTTAGATAGGGATTAAGAGAACTCCTGCTTTCACTCCTCATCTGACCGTGCTTAACAGTATATTTATCTTTTTCTCTGGTCTATTCACAGTCTTACAGCACGATATGCAAGTCCTCCAGGCCACAGTGGAATAGGATCACCACAGAAGAAAAACACAAGGTAAAACTCTTCTCTCTACTTACTCGAACATCATTTCTCTCTCGCTGAAAACGTGTTTTTTCTAGTTTGCACCTGTGCTCTTCATGTTTTCGTGATACTCCTTCTTATTATAACCAGCTAGAGGTCAAAGGTTGTTAGGGTCAGATATGCAACACCTGACAGAGATTAAGCGTTTTGCCAGAAGATTCTTCAACAGGAAGTTTCAGCTTGGATTTATTCCTCCCTCCCTACATACATCCAAAAGCTAGCAGCAAATAAACAACATTTAATTGAAAATTAAGTCAGATAAAAAAGATAAAAGATTTAAAGAAAAATATGCCTGTTATGTTTTCCAGTTGGCTGAATTCATGAATGAATTTCATTTTTTTTGAACCAGGCAAGTCCAACGCTTGCTTAAGGTTGCCCCCTATTGGCTGACATGAATACAGTCTTTTATGGGGCAGCTGAGCCTCAGTGAGGCAAACACGTTGAATTTTCACCACAAATCTAAAACTCTGGACCCCAAGCTGCACATTTAGCAGATGGATTGGTTTATGGATCTGTCTGCCAGATAAGGGAATCAGATTTGGTTTAATTCACTAATATTGAAAAGGGAAAAGCTCATAAATATTCAGTTAGGCTGCACATTTCCAATCAAATGTTTTTTCTTCTTCATTGGATCTTTGTGGCTAAACTGATCACAAAAACTAACAACATTTTACCAGAACGAAGACCAGAATATACATTTTAGCTTTACAATGCAACATGATGTTGAGAGATTCGTTATGGGTTATCAAAAAACATAAGTTTAATTTTTGGATTCCCCTCTTTTGAGATACCCATTTATAATTGTTATTTATTTATTTATTTATTTTTTTTTGCTTGCAACAACAATGGATACATATTTACTTCTTATCACTGTACGTAACAAAATGTTTGTTCATGCCGTAGGTTTGCCTCCATTGCATGGATACCCAGATGGGGTTTATTGATACTTTGATATCAGTAAAAAAAAAAGCTGTTAAAGATGATGCTGCTGTTTGTCCTGCAGCTTTAATCCTTTCTTTGATCGTCACTTGTCACACTATAGTCCTGCTGACCGTTACCTGCTGTAATCCATCCCCCATAATCCAGCCTTTGCTTTGCGGTAAATGATTTCTGTCATATGATAGTTTTGTTTGGGCCGTAAAGTTTATCATGAAAGCAACAGGGGGTGATGTTTGACAGTTTGTTGGTCATCTGCAGGCATCAATTGCAGCTGTGTGGCCAACACATGTTCCAGTCTTAAAGACAAAATTATTATTATTTTTTTTTTTTTGTCAGATAATCTGGTTTATGTCTTGGACTCACTACCAAATCTTCTGTGTGTAACTGATGACTGACAGGCTTCAGTCTTTCCACCCACTGAGCTGAAATTCTATTAGCGTTTTCCCTCCAGGCCTTTTTTGCTGATGCTTCATCAGGCCTGTAGTTTGGAAGATGAAAGCGTCTTCTGATGAAAGGAGTTTTCTTTGCCTTCCATCTGAATTGCCTCGCTTTGTCTCTCCTATATTCCAATTGTATTTCTTTTTTTTCCCTTCGTCTCTGTAAAACAAATTATCCTCCATCATTGCATTTGTTTTCTCCTTTCCTCTGTTGCTTCTTTTTGTCTATTTTCTTTTGATTTCATCATCGTCTAGCCTTTCTCTTTTTCATAGATTGAAAGATTTCCAACAGCTGACAAAGTTACTGACATTCAGTGATCTTAAACGCTTTAGCTGTTCAGAACTTGTCCATATGTTTCATGCTCTTCTGGCTGCAGCCCTCTGCATTTAGGTAGGCATAGCACATGAACCAAGGGTTGCTAATTCATACAGATAAGCGGTTGATTGACTTGTCTTCTGCATGTTGGTGGCATTCTTTTCCTGCATCTAAGGAATATTGTAGTTTTGTGCTCAGCATGTTAATTATATCTGGGATAGAAAGTAGCAAACCTACCAATATCCATAATAACTTTTGCTTTAGGGTGATACAGGAATAATTGTTACACCTCACAAAACATTGTAGATATTTGCCTAAAAGTTGAAACATTTGGTCTCATCTGACCAGAGCGCCTTCATCCTCATGCTTGTTTAATATTTCAGTGATCCAACAACTTAACGATTTTGATAACAGCTTATTCATAGTTTGATAGCTTATTAATGCTTTAATAAACGCTTATAAACCATTTAGTAATAGCTTATAAAAAGCTTAATAGCGGCTAATTTGTCAGAATTTGTAGAGTTGGTAGACAGAGCCAGTATGCAGAGGTGAAGGCAGACATTGGTTCTCCCTGATTTATTGAAGGTGGTGGCAACAGACACATAAATCAAATAGCAATAAAGCAGGAAACACAGGAACTAGAATAGAGAATAACTAAGGAGGTTTTTACAGGATGAAATGGAGAAAAACCAGCAATGAGCAATTGCAGAGAAAAAGTACATATACTAGGGAAGAAAAAATGGAGTAGTTCACTAACTGGGAGCAGGTGTGGACAGAAGGAGCTAGAAGGGAACTGAGGGGAAAGAAGAGTGGAACCAGGAAGCAATGCAGAGTAAGCAGCAAATACAGCAGGGCTTCAATATAATCAGAAAGAACTGGGATGGCACAAAAAGGAAATGAGACTACTAACAAAGAAACAAAGAGCGACCAAGTTAAAACTAGACAACAGGGAAAAGACGGGACAAGATTAGATACCCATAAAGCCAGGGAGTAACATAATATAAAAGTAGCCACATCAATAAATTATGAAAAACTAGAAAGAAAATACTAAATAAAACATAACTAACAAACACCAAGGAAGAGTTAAACTAAGAAGCAAAAAAAACAAAACAAAAACAAGATAAATCTAAATGAAAACCCAGAATAAACAGAATGTTAAGAGTCACACAAAATAAAACCCTAAACAAAAACATTTCCAAAACCATGCAGACCGCCTCAAAGCAATAGAATAGAACAGAATAAGGTAAACCAACAAAAGGCAAAAATATAAATGACACAAAAGAAAAATACACAGAATTACTTCTATAAATATAAATTGATTATATTAATGTTTAAATAAATCTATTTAAATGACATTTACGTTTTAACTCACCAATTATTGAATTTTACAATTTAATTACATATTTAAGATTTGAATGATGTATTAGATAAATAAAAAATAAATATTGCATCTATGTATTATAGATAATTTACCTTAGGGATCACATCATAATTATTGCATTTAAGTAGCATATATAAACCTTTGGCTGCAGTGTATTTTATTCATGTGTAACAGAGTAAAGGGGGCCTGGATTGTTTACAGTAACCTGACAAACTGGGGGTCCTTTCTGGTAAATGGGAATCTGCAAATTAAAGTGAAAAGAGCAGGTGGTTACAACTCCAATCAGCAAGGATTTTAAATTTAGATATGAAATAATAATTTCCTCATTTCCTGGTCAGAACAGACAAGGACATGTCTGATTGTGGGAAATACACGAAATTTGAAAAACAAAACGTCTTTTTCACAAAAAAGCCAATCATGCATGTCGTAGAGCAAACCAACTACAGCTGCTAAATCGGTCAAAAAGCAGTGAAGACATTTATCTTCTGCTGTTGTGATGGTTGGTTAGCTGTGTCCTAACGTGAAAAAATGAGAGTGCATCATATCGGTTTTCTGTTCAGGGGTCTGCAGCGTTCTCCACCTACATCTCCTCCCCAGCTGCGATACAGACGCGGGTGACATTTGCAGCATAATGAATCGATTATCTCACAGAGCCATCAGCACATCTTTCCAACATAAACTCACCAGGAATGGAAAATGTTTTTTTCAGTTTTCTAGAGAATGTTATGAAAAAATCAGGCCGGAAAAAGGAAGAATAGCCGATTCCATCTTCTCTGTGCTGCATAATTACCTGACCTGTCATAGAATAACCTTTGGTGGTCCCTGGTGAGGCTGCCAATTCATTAAATTAATGCAGTAAAGCATCTGATGAAGTCTATATGCTGAATCAAGCTGTCATACAACACCGGCAGCTTTTTAATTTGATTATTTGTGAAATTCTCCCCTGGGAGGAATAAAGTTCTCCAGCTGCAGTGAGGCAAACCAAGGTGGGAGGCTGCTAGATTTAAATCTAGTTCAAATTAAATGGATTTTAGGCAGTGAAGTTAACCCATAGTGTGTTTAATTTTTATTTTTGGTCACAACAATTCTATTTAGTTTCTGTATCTTATTTTTGTTTTCTTTAATCTTTCTTTATCTGAAGCCCAACAAAATTCAGGTGGAGGAATCTGTCTAAAGACAGTTATTAGTCCTGTACTCCTAAAACATGTCCTTTTTGTAAAAAGGACATGTTTTAAACATGTTTTAATGAAAGCTTTAATAGAGCCAGCAGACATGTTGAAGAAAAGGCTGTGTTCGCATTAAGGTTTCCTGAAGTTAAGTGAATTCTCAACTTTTTGTTTCTTTACACAAGAGAAAAACGAACACGTTAGCTCAGCGGTGGCAGCATCATGATGTGGGGGATTCTCAGCCTGCTGATTTTTCATCCCATTATTCCCAAATTTAGTTTGAAATTATTTTCATTCAAGCCATAACTTTATTCCCAATGGGATTTTTTTCCAAAATGTGTTTTTTTTTTTACTTTTACAAATGTTATGATTTAAATCATTTATAGCCTTTTCAATAATCAGAGAAAAAACGACATTAGAGTTATAGCAGTCAGTTCCTTCTTATCATAAAAGAACATATATTTTTTAATGTTTCCATATGTGTTTTGATTGTTTAAACGTCGATAAATCACAGAAGGTTTTGTGTCTCTGCAATGTTCATTGTAGAAGGCTATATAAATGTAACTTTTTGGGTGTTTTTTGGTATAACTTCAAATTTCGAGGCCTGGCTCCACTCTCTCTGCAATAACAAAAACTTTTTAACAAAAACGATTTTTATAATTTAAATTCAGCATGCCTTTTGAACAAAAGTACCAAATTTCAAGGCAATGGGTCAAAGCTATTAGAGGAGTTTGATCAAATTTAGAGGCTTTAAATGTGTTACATTTATAGGCCTCTTTTCCATTACCCTAATCTTAAGCCGATTAGATTCTAATCTGAATTCCAGCTGGACTAATAGAATTTATTGAATTGAATATTATTAATTTTTCTTTTATAAAACACCAAACCTTTTGCAAATCAGTGATTATATTTCTTTTGCCAAAACAGACTGGAACGGCTCTCCATTAAGCTCCGCTGTTGTATTGAGCACATTCTGTTATCTAAACTTTGTGTTTTAACGCCTTTTTCTCCCCGACTAAACAAACAACCCTTCCTCTGATACATCGATCTGTGATTTCTCTTTATCATCTTTGGTTGTTATGTCTCTTCCTCCTTAAACCTTTGCATATTTTGCCATATTTTAAACACAAACCTCATTGTGTTTTAAGGGGAATCTTTTTTTATGAGACAAAATGAGAGGAATAACTTTGAAGCAGAAGAACATTTACGTGGGGTTTCCTTGTGTGTTCAGTAAGTTGCTTATAATATTACGGTCCAATAAAGGGAAACAAATTTCGTTTCCTGGTGTTAGATGTTACTTAAGCTTTGGTTTCCATGGTTTCTTCTTTACTTTAATAGTGAACTGCTTCTTTCTTCTGTGGTTGTCCAGGTTACCAGGGCCATCCAGAGTACCCGCTGCAGGCGGCGGGGCATCCAGAAGCCCAGGCTCATCCAACCTCAACCGCCGGAGTCAGAGCTTCAACAGCATCGACAAGAGCAAGCCTCTCCAGTATGCAAGCGGCAACGATAGAGGTGAGCAATGTTGGAGACAACACTTCAACAAACACAAAGAGCAAATAAAGAAAAAGATTTTCTTTTCAGATTTTAAAATGTGTGGTGTTTACAGTTTCTGCATGCTGATGGTTCAATATTGCAAATTCTACAGGACTTGGCAAAACATTTTTTTATTAAGCATGTCATGTTTGTAGAGGTTTGCTAGAGAAAGCCTCAAATCTCTTTTTTCCATATAAATAATAGTAAAAATAAATAACTAAATACAAATTTAAAAAAAGCCTCTTTGTTTCTTTTTTATATAAATAACAATAAAAAAAGTTTATAAATAGATAAAAGATATTAAAAGTAAAGCCTATTCTCTATGTCTTTGTTATAAATAATAATAAAATAATAATAAAATGAATAAATAACTAATTAACTTAATAGATAGACAAATAAAATATCTTCTCTGTGTCCCTTTTTATTGAATAATAATAATGCATGACAAAATAGATGAAAAAATAAAGCCTCTGTCTTTTTTTGATAAATAATAATTTAAATGAATAATAAAATACATGCTAAAAAATAAGAAATAAAGTCTCTTCTCTGTGTCTTTTTATATATTATAAAAATAATAAAAAATAAACAACTAAATAACAAATTAAAAATTTGGATCTTTATATCACATTACCTCAGTAGACCTCTAAACAGCTTTAAGCATGGGGGGGATGATAATATGGGCTTGCTTTGTGGTTCTATGATCTTGGTACATTGTAGGCAATAATTCTCCAAGACATTGCGCCCAAACATCTGACACCAGCCATTCAGCATGGTGGTGGAGGGGTCATGATGTGGGCTTTTATTTATTTATTTATTTATATAGATCCACTGGACTAGGCTGTTAGAACCATGAACCTCCGTATGCCAAAGTATTCCTCTATGTGGAAATGTTAAATATTAAATGTTGAAAAAGTCAGGAGTGAATCCAGGGGAAAAGAACTGATGAATCAAAAAATAAAGCTGGTTCTTTGACTGGAGCTCAGCCTCATCATGTGTTAGGAAGGCTGGAGAGCTGTGCAGAGCGAAAAATAAAAAAAAAATACCTGAGGCAATGTCCTTAAGATGAGTTAGTAATATTCCAAACATTTAAATGTGACACTGGTGATCAGACAGAATTTTTTTTATCATTATTATTTTGTAATAATAGTTATAAATATAATGGAATTGAAAACCATTTTATATGCTTTAATAAATAACTTCAAACAAATCATGATTTAATATCCCTTAGATCTTATAGCTGGTCTAATTTCCTTCTTCACATAACGGCATCTTAGAGATGCATAATTTGCATTTTCCATCTCCACCACATGGGGGCACTGCTGCCACAACTCAGCCCAGATCCCAGGTATTCCTCATCTACAGATTTAACAAATCTGCTGAATTCTCTCCAGTTCTGATTATGACATTAGAATAATGCGGCAGAAACACCTCAGAGACCAGTGTCTCACTAAAGCACCCGCCCTGTCAAAAATAAGTCACCTTATGAATAGGGGTGTCACTCTTTTTGGAAAACCTCTTTCCACCTGTGAGAGTTAATATTAGTATGTAATAAAAAAAAGTATTTATTCTTATATTTTGCCCTCTTTTAAAAGGTTTACCATATAAAAGGGTGAAAGACGTGATGAAAAGCAGCAGATTGATATTTCTACTGCTTTCTCAGAGAACAGTGGTGTCAACCTGTAACACTAACTTTCCGATTGTAAGGAAAAGACTCAAGAGGCAAAGCTTGACTCTGGGGAGATGAAACTAGCTTGGTTGAAAAGAAAAAGAGAAAAGTACCAACAAAGGAAAGGAAAGGAAATCAATTGCTGGAAAATGTCAGCAACACAGCTCTGAGCTTCAGGGCACAACGGTCCACAGAGGAGCAGATACAGGAAGCCTGAGCTAAGAGCTGTTTCACTCACATCCCTCAGAAGATTTCAGTCTGTTTAGTTCTTTGTTTTTGGTTTTACATATTTCTCCCCATCAAATCACACATCCTTTTGGTTTTGCATCATTGTTTTTTTTTTTTTTTTGTTATTTCCTCCCTTCCCTTCTAATTCCTTTATTTTTAACCAATATTCCTCCTTTAGATCCTCCTTCAACGTGATCCACATTTTAAAAACCGTTGTTTTTATCTCTGTTTAAATGTTTCTTTGCTACTTTGACCCATTCAGTTTAAAGGTAAAGGGAATAAGATTTTTTTTATTGCTCTAACAGCAGATTTCTCTAAGCCGTTTCCCTGGCCCACAGCATCACAGATGTTGCGTCCTTTGTGTCGCAACCAGTCCAGCTAGTGTTTGTTGCTGAAACATTCGATCTTAGTTCCAGCAGACATCAGTTTGTGGTGCCAGATAAGTTTCAAAGTAGCATGTTTTTATTTTAAGGTCTCTTTAATGTCTTATTCTAATTATTCTTAAAGAATTGATATTTATGAATCTAATAAACCACTGTATCATGTTTAAATTGATTGATATTTGCCTTTAGACACACAAATAAACAATAAATGACAGTATATGTCCTTGTAACATAAATTAAAGTCTGAAAAAGGGTCTATTTGCAGAAGCAATAAGCTCATAATGTCCACCCTCCAAAACCAACTTAAATTAGACAAGAAATCAGTGCAATATTGGATTATTAAACAAGGGGAAACTGTTGGATCCTTCTAACAGAAACATTATTTACCATCTGGCTGCCTAATGTCTATATAATGTGGAGACAGAACCCCAGATGGCAGTCGATCAGTTGTTGCTTTTTAACTGGGTCTATGGACGGTTTCTCTCAATGATGTTTAGAAAGTCTAACATCAAGAAAAAGAGGCATTTTATTTATTAGCTGAGGCAAAAAAAAAGAAGAAAGACATCACCAAGGGATGCGGTTGCTATGACAACTTTAAATGGAAGTTAAAGTGAGGTGGTCATGTGTGGTAGCCTCCAGGGTGGGGATGGAGGATCTCTAAAGGTGGGGTTAATTGAGTGGACTCAGACACTTCATCTCCTTAATGCTTCTAATCTCCTTCATTAACATGTAGAAACCACCTGAAGGGAATAATAAAAATAAAGACGCCTTGTTTGTTTACTTCTCACATGTTGCTGCTTAAAGTAGGCTGGTTGTAAAGATCTTTATATTGCAATTATTTTAAACGACTTAATAAACCCATTATCGCCAAACTTTGTAAAAAGATAAGGAAAAGACCCTTAAAATTCCCCCATCTTATGTTTTAGAAGCTGTTAAAAAGCAGATTTTTATTCTGTTTTGATAAAACAGCAGGACCCTCGCCGTACAAGCTCTCAGGTGTGTGCACTAAAGCAGAAGGAGACACAGCCGGCGTTTAAGCCTCGGTTATTTTAATCCCTAACAGTCTGAGCGCTGCGTGACGCTCAGGCTTTTTAAGTTCCGCTTTCAGGTTTCAGAAAACAGTTTGTGTCTCAGGCCCAACAAGCTGAATCAAAGCCTTCTCCTCCCATTCCTGTCTGCCTGAAGTGGCATTACAGAGCAGACTGGTGGTGACTCAGAACCAGCTGAGCCCTGCTCACTGCGCTGACTGACAGCCAGACAGACACTCAGCCTATTGGTGCATAACTTCATGGTGTCACCCTGTCGTCTCTCTCCTCCACTCTTCCTCTCCCTCAGTATGTTTAGACAACCTTATTTCCTAGGCTGTGGATGCTGATTGTCTATTGGCTCCATCAGGAAAGGTTATTTTTCTTCAACCGAAACAAAATAATTTAGCTCATGTGTGTTTCTTAAATCCTGTGTTGTTATGTTTTTAGATTAGTTTTTGAGTTCCTCTGTGGTTGATTGGAGGGTTTGCTGCTTTTCTATTATCCTGATAGGGAGCAACAGGTGTTTTCTGACACGAAATGTAGTCTAATAGATCTGGTTAGAGATTTATGAGCTGATTTTATAAAAAAAAAAATACCGCCTAGTGTTTAATTTTAGTTTAAAGTTTAGCTGTGTATAAAGATACAACCCTTTTGTTCATCCATCCATCCATCCATCCCTTATATAAAGCAGGGATCATGTATTGTGGGATTTCTTTAGGGAACTTTCATAACATTTCGAATATTTTATAATCGCAAAATCTGTTTTTCGTTTTGCCAAACTTTGTCTTCCATAAGGTATATATGTTCCGGATCTTTCCACATTTCTTTGCGAATTTAGCCACAAACTTATGTCCCTTTGATTTATACACGGTACATCAAAGTTACACATATTCCACAACCTTTGACATTAAATATGTATCATAAATATTTCTTTCTCTGCACTATTAAGCTGAAGGAATAGCTTTTTGAACAGGAGGATAAAAGGCTGCTGACTTTAATCCCCTTTGAAGAAATTAACGCAACCTTTCTCCTTTGGAATTACTTTCTGTAGGGTGTTTTTATACTCTTTGAATGCTTTCATTTTTAGCTGAATTTGTATAAAACCAGAAAGTGAAAGAATATTCTGAAGTAAGCTTTGCTTCCCCATCTTAAGAAGAGATGACTTTCTTCAGTACTAAAGTATTGATAATGTAGGTAAATGCAGTAGTCATCTGCAAACCTGATATTATCTCTATCTCTAATCTATACATGAGTTTTATTTAGCACAACTTTCAATGCATCTTTAATGAAAAACAATTGATTTCAAGCAACAAATAATTTTCCTTGCAGACATTGGGCATTGTCCCTACACGATCCGTCCCGGAAGCACAACCCGTCCTGCACATGCGCGAACAGATATACATCTGGGTGTCCATAAATAATGTTGCTTACTTATTTCTATCCTTAACTCACTAAAAGATGATAATACACATCGTTAGAAAATGTTTTATGACATTTGTGACACAATTTTGATGCTTTTTACATTTATTACATTTTTACATCTTTATTAAACTGCTTCTCTGACATCATCGGACATGTTCAGAGCAGTCTGGCAAAATATGATTAAACCACGTTTATCTGCATTTTAGTTGTTTCTTTCTTTAGATTACTCACTATATACCATAAGGTTGAAACGAAACGAAAACATAAAACTCAAAAAGACTAGATTTATTTTTAAATCCAAAGCCGAAAAAAAGTAGCCACCGGAAGAAGCGAAGTTGCCCATTTCTGGTGCAAATTATAAAGGATTTTAAGGCATTTATTTTCTCAGGAAATAAATTATTAACCTTTAACACATTATATTTTAGTACGTTTACTATTTTTGGGGAGGAAAAAACATTATGTAGGTCTTTTTAACAAAATAAAATTGAGAGCGAGCCGGATGTCTTGCACAATCAGCTCATTTGCGCATGTGCAGAACAGATTGTGCAATGATACTGCCACCTGTGGCCAACGCACAGAACTGCAGTACTCTACTGCTCTTCACTTGACGTGGAGTGTCCGAGTTGAGCTGGTTGCCATCTTGAATAAAACGCTTACATTGTTTGCAAGGTCCGACCCGTTCAAAATGGATTTCCACATCCGCTGAAAATCGCTGGAACTTCCGACCTTAAGATTTAGGAAAATAGGCTACAGCCTTATAGATGCATCGGTGCTGAAAAATTAAGGCATCAATCTGCTCATCATATAAATTTTGATTTGTAAAATAAAATAAAATGTCTTTTTAAGTTGTAATCTAAAATTATATTTCTATTTTTGTTCAGAATCGGTGAGGGGCCTCCCTGTACCCAGTGGGATGAATGGGAGTGGTATGGGTGGGATGGTTCCCACCAGTCTCAGTGGGCAGCAGCTGGCCTCTGCCATCCCCTCACCCACCTCTGGGAAGTCCTGGCGCAGCAAGTCAATGAACCTCAAGCACAGCGCCACATCCTCCATGCTGGCAAGCCCCACCCATTCACCTTCCACCACCCCTTCACCCCAGGCCCTGGAAGGTTTTCACGAGGCCTCCAAAGTTGGGTTAGGAGCTGCACCTCCGCAGAGGTCAATGTTGGAGAAGTTCCGACTCATTAACCCTCGATCAGCCTCAAGAGCGTCACCATCCATGGCGGAAATGACGCTGCAGGAGGAGGATGACCTTTCGGAGTACGGGGACGATGGACAGACCCCGACAGGGTCATTGTGCAGCAGTGGCAGTAGCAGTGCTACCGCCAAACAGAGCTCAACAAAGACGCCAGCGTCATCCGTTTCTGCACCTAGCAAAACCTCTTCTTCATCCTCATCAAAAACCTCTGCCAGTGGCAGCAGGTCCTTGGCCCCATGCAAAGACAAGGAGGATAAAAACAAGTCTGTGAAATCTTCAAAAGACAGCTCTCCACCAAAAGAGGAGCGTGAGAATTCAGCCGACTCCACTAAGAAATCCTCCAAAATAGCCAGCCTCATCCCAAAGGGAGGAAAGTCATCGTCAGGAAAGAAAGATGGCGGCACTTCCTCTGCTGCCAGCGGCATCCCAAAACCAGGACTTAAAGCTCCGTCCACAACATCAGGCAAACCTCAGAGTCAGTCCCAGAACCAAGCTGCCTTAAACAGCAGCGGCAACATGAGGACAGGTGAAGGAGAGCGAGCTAAGCTGACCAAAGGAGGACAAGGTGGGAGTTTTTACATACAGCGCTCCGCTGGCGGTACGGAGGGGAAACGGACTAGTATGACCTCGTCTACCAGTACCTCAGCCCTATCTGGAACCAGTGGGATGCTTGTAGGAGGAGGAGGTGGGGCACCGGGAGGAAACGGAGTGGTTCTACTTCCACAGCAGCAGCAACACAACCACCCCAATACGGCCACGGTGGCACCCTTCATGTACAGGTGAGCTGTGAAAAGGTTTTAAACCGATGCCTCTTTGAAATCTATAGGCCTACAGACCTTTACACCAAAATACACACACCCTGTGAAGTCTTGGAGTTTTCCCAGAGATCAGCTGCCTCTCCCCACCATGCATCATGCTCTCGCCTCCACATCTCTTCACAGTCATTACAGAACAAATTAGCATCCTCTGCTCTCTGCTTGCCAAAGCCTATTATTTGGCTGTCTGTTTTTCATCCTTAATGTGAAATTCAAGACATCGGCAGTGTTTAGAAATCCTTTCAGTGTCTCTTTATTCCGACAAGGTTGATTTGACATGTTCAGTTTGGATTTGTCACCCTGATGGTACAGTGATCAGGAATGGAAAACTATTAATGCAAGGTAACACTACGCATTCCCTTTGAATTATAGATATTTTCACTCACCATCACTGATTTAGTTAAAACTCAAGCCCTCAACTTAGTTAGAAACAATTAAGTGGATAAACCTCTAAAGTCTTCTCCAGTCTACTAAAAACTAAAAATCTCTTTTTAGTTTTTAGTAGTGCACAGAAAAACAGAGCTAACAGATGAGCACGTAGGACGGCCTTACCTACACGTATTCCCAGAATGATGGACAATTAAGAGGACCACTTATTTAAATGATCCACCCAGAAATAAAAGATCTTCCCCTCTACTTTTAATGTTCTTCATCATTAAAGGTAGGATACAAAGTGGGTTAATAACAGAAATGGAGCTTTCATTGTTTTACAGCAAAGACTGGATGGTTAATATTGACAAAAGGCAAAAAAAAAAAAATTATTAGAATGTTCAGCCAAATCTCAGCAACCGTCTCAACAAGCACAAAACCAAAATTCTCTGAGAGCAGCTTAAAAAATCGTGTTTTGGTTTTGATCGACAAACCTTCACTGTTTTAAGCAATGACACTTAGATATGTAGCCATGCATTGCTTTAGAGGGGCTCTCTGAGTGGGCTAAACATTTTCCACCTCCAATAAGTTATAAAAAAGTAAATGACTAAGCACCTTTAAAGGTATTGTAGAGGATTATTTAAAAGACCCGCCCTCTCCACTTGGAAAAAAAAAGGGTGTGAGAGCATACAGCCTCAAACGCTTAGGGAAGCAGTTGCAGGATCTGTTCTTTGACTGGGTGCTGTTCGTCATCCACTGAAATCCGCTCACTTGACAAAGATTCTTCATTTTCGTCACTATGGCAATCCGTTTCAGTGTGTATGCCTGCCATCCAATCTCCTGGAGTGACATCTAGAACTGACAAAGGAATGCTTATCTTTTAAAAAAGCTTTATTTTCAGTCATTAGTATCTGATTGTCTCAAGACTCTAGGAGGTAATGACAGGAGATCGCTTGCAATTAAGCCTTCCGTCCTGTCTTTAAACACAGTGATGTATATAATGGGGAAATTGGTCACGTTGTTTTTTGTTGGGGTTGTGAGGCTCCGCCTCCTACTGTGTCTAGTCTCTAAATCAGTGTCCACCTGCAGGCCTCACCAGAGGCTCCCAGCATGCTTTCAGGTGGTGGGAGGGTTCTCCCTGCTCAACTTTTCCATCATTTTCCTCTCTATTAATCTTGTAAGGGTTTTAGCATATTATCATCCAAGTGTAATAAACACTTTAGCACATCATAAATCCTGTTTAATCAGATGAAAACAATCTGCATCATAGTCTTTCCACTCATATAGATCTTAGTATTTTATTAAATCGGTGATTGACTTTTAGCTTGAGCTGTGGGTGTGGCTACATTATGTATTTGGTATTCATTTTTATTATACATCAGCATTGTTCAAATAAGCTTTGGTAGAGGATATCTATGCAGCTAAAGGTGGAAGCTGGCAGTGAGGGGAAATAATTCACATGAGCTGAAGTCAGTCTCACAAATGGAAGCCTGCTGTTATCTGCGGTTCTGCAGGTGGTGGCGGGGAGCCGTGTGTATGTGAGGGAGGGACGCTGTTGGCCTTTGCTTAGATCTGTGCGTCTGCTTGTTTCAGCTTTCCTCTTCCCATATTTGCCCCTGTTGCTCTGCATATACTTTAGATTTCTAGTGTAAAGGAGGGAAATCTTTAAAAGCATTCTATGCATGTGTTTCCACAAAGCCATTTTCACCAATTAAAACCCAACATGGTGTTAAAAAAAGTTTATTTTTATATAATAGACAAGCTTACAGGGTGTCTTCTCTTTTCCTTGCAGATTTTAATTTTAGCAAGAGTGCTGCCACATGATTATAAATCCAATAGTTTGGGTCAGCAGATACCCGACTGTTTAAAAACTGAACTGGGTCTGATGACAGACACTGGTAGAACTCTATAAGAAAAATCTCAATGAAGTTATTTAAATTTTACTGGGGGAAATAGCCTATGACTGCATAATGAAATCAAAGTGGAGCAGGTAACAGTTATTTCTGCTCATGTAAGTAAATGCCTGGATTTTCCTTCTTATTATTCTTCCCGCCTGCAGGACGTTCTCAGAAAACGATTGCACCACGGTGGCCCCAGCCGACCCCTGTCTCAGCCCCACCAAGGGAGAGCTGGTCTACAGCAAGACAGCCAAACAGTGCCTGGAGGAGATATCAGGTACGACACACACACAGGCGCGCTGCAGGCTCTGTGTAGCTCATCGCCTTCTCTCCTCTGTGTGGGTGTGTAAATGAACACTTATATATGCGTTGGATTAGGAATTTTACCCCTGCTGATATGCATCTATATTGATTCCAAATTGACCATAAAACTGCTACAGTTCTGATCTGCATGTTTATGGGCTGAATTATTTAACAAGAAATAAAACTGTGTAATATGTATAATATTGTTTCGTTTAAATGCTGTTTTTATCTTTCAAAGCAAAGCTTTGGTAGCACCAGATGTGTTATTATGGAGCAGATTTTGTTCCATTATTGATGAAAAAGGTTTTGAGTTTAACTGTTTGCTCTGATTTTTACAATTGTTTCAAACTTGTTTTTTCTAATGTAATTTTCATTTTTTTAATTTGTCTTTTTTTGCAGGTTTTATTGTTTTTATTTCTGTTTTTCTTTCACATTTATTTTTGCAGGTTTAATATTTTCAAAATCATTAAAAACAGTCAAATATAAAATGAAATTATTTGAAAAAAATGGAAAATCGATTTGAAAAAATGTTATTAAAAAAATAACAAATATTTTTTATTTTGCAATAAATCTAAGAGAACAGCACAGTTGCTCTCAAAACCTTTTTATTTTATCTATTAATGCATTTATCAGTGTTTTATTTTTATTTTTTTATGTCTTTTACAAGACATGTTCCTTTTTTTGCAGCAATAATGGAAACAAAATTGACTTTATATTTCAGCTTATCAGTGTTTACATTCTACAACATGCTGGTGGTGTTTACCTGAGGGATTTGAATGTTTTTTCCCGTTTAATGAACGGAAGGGAAAAGGTCAGGATATATATCGCCACGGCAACAAACAGCATCACCAGAAGTAGATTGCTAGCTTCCTTTCTAAGCCTCTGTGGAATGATTAAGATTGGATATGATGTTATAACTAGTAAAACATACAATATTAGAACTTTTGATTATATGTTAATGAAATGTCAGAGATAAAAGAGTGAAAATGAAGCGATATACTCAACAGGGCGTCACCGTTTTATCCTTCTGATCACATTTTCTAGGCTAGATCATGCAGTGTTTATGATTCTGATGTGTTGTAAGGCATTTTGAAGTGTCTTGAGAGAAAGGTGAGCAGCTCATCCAGAGACTGACGTCGTCTTCTCTCTGTCCAAAACAGGCCAACTGATTCTGGCCTGATTGCTTTCCATGATTTGGTTGCCTTAGAATAATTGGTTATGTTTGCTCCTTTACCGTTTGAGTTCAAACAAAGTTCTCTACTATTGCATCGAATAAGAAGGGATGCTACTGATTGAAAGAGTCTGTCTCTTTGAGTTTTTGCAGCATGATTGTGGAGCTGTTGTTTAGGGAGTTTTCCTTCCAGTGAACTGGAGGATGGGCATGAGAGACGTTCTGTTTAAGGAGAAGTCATTTTTCTAAATTCCTAATAAAGACACAGATGGAGCAAATTGGGTCCAACAGAGAAGTAGTAATATTCCATTTTTAAACAGAATAAACTGTCATGAATGAAAATCGAAACATACAATTAGACTGGATAGTTTTTTTTTGTTTGTTTTTTACTGAAATTGGTTATGTTGCAAAGCAAATGAAATATTGAAGACAAAAGCCTGCTTCTAAATTCTTTACATTCACCTTAAATCTTTGGGGTAATTTGGTTTCACATCAGGAAAGAATTCCCAAACATGTCAGAACTGGGTTTGAAATGGCTGTGCTGCCAGGTGTAGCGGTGTGTCCACAGAGATGATAGTGATGATTTATGATGTTTATAGAGAATATTATTCTAGGACATTCTACCGACGCATTGTGTCTATAAAAGGCGTTCTGATGACATGTGTTGCTACATGTATTAACCTAAATTAAAAAAAAATCAAATACACAATCAAACTGGTTTTGGTGAACGGAATCACTTTTACATCAGATGTATGGAAAGCTCAAGTAAAAAATAATAGATTATATTCAGAAACAGATGACAACGTGAGAGAAAACCAGTCAGTTTAAAGAAACACTACCGCTGTTTTGGCAATACTACATTTTTTTTTTCTTTTCATAAAAAACCAAAATGGGGTCTAATTTATGGAGATCTGTTTTATTCAAAATGAATGAAATAAAGAGAATACGGTTATAAATAAAGTATTAATTATTCCAAATAATCAATACATTTACTGATTAAACAAAACAACATACTTAAAATACATTTTTAGCTTATTTCTCTATTTCTTTATTAACTTAAATACGTATTCTTTTTGTAATTTAAGCTGTTAAGATCTCTCTGTGTCTGTGCCAAAAAACATATGAAATAAAAAAAATACATAAAATTAAAAAGGATACATTTCTAAATAAATACATTTTAAAATAACCAAGTATGATTTGAACCAAGTATGAATATATATATATATATATATATATATATATATATATATATATATATATATATATATACTCAAAATAAAATATCTTGAAAGTAACTTTTTAGAAAAACAAATGACAACTGAAAAAATAAGCTAAGAAATATATTTTTATTATATAATTTGTGTATTTCATATATAAATTTTATTCATTTGATGGAATATTTATTAAATTATTTATTTAAATTCCAAAGAAATGGCTCTTTATACAGATTTGCTTTAGGTAATATGGGTATACAGTAAGTTTACAGGAATATCTGCAAATTTTTAACATAGAGCTGAAATAGAACCAACCAACAAACCAGCACTGAAAAACAAAACAGTTGCTCAGAGGATGTCTATTGTTTATCTTTCTTTTTTCCCAGGTTCAAACGAGCTGCAGCTGCTTTCCTTTAGCATTATTTACATCTTAAGTTGACTTTGCTCCTTTAACTTTCCTTTTTCAAAGGTGCTCATATTTAAGCTGGCTTATCGCATCTTTGAGGAAATTTGGGGTTTTACATTTTAGAGCAGCAACCTGTTTGATTTCAGTCAGAAATGCTTTCATTGGAACCAAATTCCAAACTCATCATAGAAGAGGAAATAGAGCTCAGCCTGGATGAAAAATCAAAGAAACCAGTCCAAGATTGGAAAGGAAGATGTCAAGCTGAAAAACAAGAGAAGTCTACAAAGCAAAGTTTTGCAAAAACAACAGCGTGTGATTATAGGTTAAGGGATGTCGAGTGGGCAGCAACATTCCAGCCTTTTTGCTTCGATCGTGGCTTTTCCAAAGCCCGTCATTTGCAGGATAAAATTAGACAAAAACGGCGCTGACCATCCTCTTTGTTTCAGCGCCATTATATACACTCGCTTTTTGTAGTCACAGGTTTCAGAGTCGATTCTCATCCTTCGCTTTCTGGCTCTTCCTCTGTGGAGGAGCGGGAACATGTCTCTGACAGGGCAGTTCAAGATTCGGCATACCACAGATACCACATGACAAGCCTGCTCATACTGCAGACACATGTGGAGGCCACGGCAGGGGTGTCAACCCTTCAGACAACGAAGCATCACCACTTTATAAAACATGTTATTTGTTCTCAGATCAGGACACAGAGCTCTAAATATTAATATTGCTTGAAATGTATCTCATTTGACTCATCAAACCACTGTGTTTTACTTTGTCAATGACCGAGGTAACATTTTATTCTATATATCCAATAAATCAAGTCAAATCAATCACCTATAAAGCCTACAAAATCTAGCTAGAAAAAAATAATCCATTCAAATCCCCCCCCGAACGCACCTTTTTATTCTTAAACATGGTGGTGGCAGCATCATGCTGTTGGATAATTTTTCTTTTATAGACCAGATAGGATAGGTTTTTCATATTGAAATATGAAAAACTGAGGAAAAAGACCAACTTTTTAGGGTCCTAAACAAACAGCCAGAGCTTTGATTTACAGGTTTATATCAGAAATATCAAGCTAAGGTTTCTTGGGACACATCTATCCTCAAATTGATCATTTCCATGTAGAGATATGTATAAGTTATGGCCTTCAAATTGATGAGAAGGTGCTGCTGATGTACCACAAAACTCTGTGGCACAACTTGACTTTTCTCTCTTACCTGATTGATTTTACCTGAATTAAAATTGACAAATCGAAGGGGAGCGGCGGCCTAGTGGTTAAAGCACATGCTCCCACAGAACGCCACTCTGGGTCCCTGAGCAAGACCCTTAACTCCACACTGCTCCTTGGGCGTCACACAATGGCAGCCCACTGCTTCCTCAAGGGGATGGGTTAAAGGCAGAGAGTTAATTTCCCCATTGTGGGACAATAAAGGCCTTTGCAGTTGAACGCATACATGTATGGTCCGTCTACGCATTTCCTACAGATATCATGGATTGTACTAAAACCAGTCTTCTCACGTTGAGTCTTTGGGAAGAATGGTGTAGCTGTACATCTGGTAATGTATGTGTTCCTACTAGAGGTACGTTGGTACTTCCCTTACAGTTCGTATCAAACACATCTACACTGGAAAAACGATCTAGAAATGAGTAAAAATTTCTTAAATTAAGTTTATTTACCCTTATTTTGAGTAGGTAAATGAGATAGTTTGACAATGGAATGAGTATTTTTAATCTTAAAATAAGATCATTGGATGATAGGAACTTGAGATGAGGCAATGCAATTGTGTTTTCTTATTTCAAATGTAAATTGTCTTGTTCTATTGGCAAAATTACATTTTTATGTCCTCAATCCAAGAACAAATGCACTTATTTTAAGAAAAAATGACTTATCTAGATTTGATTTTTGCCACTGTACCAACCAAATAAACCTTTTTTTTTTTATTACCTAAACATGTACAAATTGTTTATGTTCGTATATGGAATCTAATCTGCAATTCCATGTTTTGTAGCTTTTGATAGTGAAACCAAAAATTGAACCCATACAAGTCCCAATGCTCACTAATAATTGTATAAATACAGAGTAAATCTTTTCCTTATTATGAAAAAAGTGATTCGTATTCATTATATGGTCCAAGGAAAAGAAATAGATTTACTTGTTCTTACTTTGACTAAATAGCAGC